TAAGTCCAAGTGCTTACGTTGACAAGTCCCGCTGCCGCTGTTCCTAGCGTACCCTGTGAAACATTCGCAATAGAAACTACCGTCAGTGTTGACACAACGTTCAGTAACTCGATCACATCCCCCATAGTTCTCCAAACATTCGTTCTTATCTGAAAACGATTGACTAAAAGATGTATTTTAAAGCTCGTTGTATTATATCAATAATATATTACTTTACAATAGACTTTTGTAAAGTAATACCGTACTTAATAACTAACGCATTACTTAGTAACATTTTAGCCTTTATATTATTATCTTCTGTTTTATTTGAAAAAGTTAAACAATATTGTGTTTGTATTGATATTTTTTTGCCTTATTTCATTAATTCTTAGGAGGAAAAACCACTCACATAGCATATGGAATGTTTAGAGCTTAATGATCATTACACTTTACTAACCTTCACACGTTAGTCCAATAAAGCCTGGGTTACAACTACATATATTAGGTTGGACGCATATCCCTCCAATGCCACAATCCACATTACAGATAGCTTGTGTATGCATCCAAATAAAGAATAGTGTTAGTCGAGAAATGTAATTAATTGCAATACATTTTTTATAAACGAAATTAGTCTCCCTGCGGATACTACACGCATCTACACCGACGTATATAACAACATATCAAATTACAATGTTCTAATAATAATAATAATTATCATTATAATAATAATTATTAATATTATTTTTATTATTATCGTCGTCGTCGTCGAAGTCATTGTCGTCCCGTCACTGTCACCGTCATTGTCGTCATCATCATCATTCTCAAACAGGTAATCTTCTCAACTTGGGAAATATAAATACAGTTTATATTGAAACGTATTCGGAATAATATCTATCTATCTATCCATCGTTATATAAAAACGTTCGTAGCAAACTAACTGTTTACATCCCCCTCTTTAATTTGCAAAAGTAGTTTCGAAAAGAAGCCTTTCAAGATAGCATGGGCTTCTTTTCGAGATAGTACAGTACATAAGACACAAATTCGAAGAAATAAAATAAAAAATAATAAAAACACGCTTGGTTTATACAGTAGTTTAGGTGATTCAATGCCGGTTAATAAACTCTATGGTACAGATTGATGTAACAGTGGCCCTACTTATTGTTCTATAATAGTAATTCCCAAAATCAACAGCATTCATTTTGAAAAGAAGCTCCCACTTTACTTTGCAAAAGTAGCCTCGAAAAGAACTCCATCTCAAAAAAGAAGCCCGTCTCGAGAAAGAAAAAAAAAGGACTTCAATTAGAGGTTTTACGGTATTTGAACATTGTATATTAAGTTATAAATACGTAAATATTGTTTTACAAAAGAAAGTTCTTATAAGGTTAAATAAATGCATTGATATCACCAAACTATGTTACGTTATTATAACGATTGTAACGTTAAATAAACGTAATAGTTAAACGTAAATATGGTTCTACAAAAATACGTTTATATAACGTTTTATATACAGTATATAAAAAAAAATTCTTAACACTAAACTGTTACATTTTTACAAGGTACTTTAAACTATATATAAGGTTTTAAAATCGTTTCTTAACAACGTTCCATAAACGTAATATTTGAACGTTATATTTTACATTATAAATATGTCAATAGTGTTCTACAAATATACGTTCATAGGAAGTTATAGAGACATTCCTAGCACCAAACCACGTTACTTACATAAACGTAATGAAAGAACGTTATATATTTACGTTATATTTTATAACTTATAACTAACTTACGATAGAACTTTATATAAATACCAGTTTAAACACCAAACTATTGCATTATTATAACGTTTTATAAACGTTATTTTTAAATGTTTTAATATCCTTTATTAATAACGTTAGGCCTATATGAACTTTATATTTAAACATTATATTTTAAGTTGTATGTACGTCTATACAAATTTATGTTCGTAGAAGGTTATATGAAAACGTTCTGAGCACCAAAATGTAACGTTATTATAACAAATATTAAAACGTAATATTGTTGGCTGGGATGGGCCTAAACATCGTTGTTATGCTAGAACTGCCGTGTATAACTAATATGCATGTACCAACTTACGTATTGTACAATGATTCACATTGTTTTCCGCCCAACCCGAGCAGCAATAGTAGTTTGTAGAATACACTGTGTATGCTTCGGTGCGATACATTCGAGAGTAACTCTTCCTAGTATATATGCATGGAACATTTAAAAAAAAAACATCAATCAATATTTTGCTGGTGCTAATCGTAATTGGAAAACATGCATGTACACATTCGGTATTGTAACATATTTTTATTTGTGTGTCAAGGAAGCGAATTAAATATCTATTAGGCTACAGTAGCAAAAGAAGATAAGCGCAAGCATTTAGTTTCAGTAAATGATAATGAATCAACAAATTGGTACGTATATCTGATTTGTTAAAGTTTTACAATGTTGCAGAGTTAAAATCGTATGTACATGTATATGAAAAACACTCACCAGTACTTTTTGCATCGATTCCAACCCCACGTTCCACATTTTGTTGTACCACTTCTGCATGTCGACTGAGCATATGAAACTTTGCGCGTTTCTTGTATAGAAACTTTACGACTGCACACGTTCGCTCTGTCAAATGTAGTTTTATATAAGTGATGCACATAATTCACTTTATCATCAGTGGAGGCAGGCGCGTAACAGGGGTCTTGGGTCAGGGGGGGGGGAGGTAATAATTTTCCCGGTTAGTAATTTATCATACCCACCCCCACCCCCTCGCATATAGAAAACAATACGACATAGGGCTTATCTTATTTTATAATTAGGTCACACACGTGTGTTTGAAACTATATATAAGCCTTTTCATCATGGTTTTATTTATTACCAATAGTCTTTCACCATCATTACACATTGAGGCCCATCTTTAGGTAATACGATCTATCATAAATTTTCTTTCTTGAGTTTGGGACTATTAGGCCTATGTGTTTTAATAACTTAGAAGGCTAACCCTAAATTTTTTTTTTTTTAATTCTAATTTCGTCGGAATTGATCAAAACTCCCTAAAATGTGCAATTTTTAGAGGAATTTGGCCTAATTTAACAGTAAATGCGCGCGAAGCGCCCGAAATTTGAAATTTTTAGGCACTTTCAGGGGGTGAAAAGGGAATCTTTAAGAGTTGGGGAAAGATTTTCCACAGATGGATATTTTCCCCTTGTCCCCCGGTGGTTATGACACTGCCGAGAATATCTGGCGGCTTAGATCAAAGGAGATATGGACACCTCTTTGAAGTGGAAAAGGGGTTGCAGGGTGTTGTGAGTATGGTCATTATGATATCTTCCTTTTTATTCTTGTCTTTATTTTTCTCTTCTCTTTTCCTTTTCCTTTCCTTTTCTTTTCCCCTTCTTTTTCTTTCCCTCCCTCTCCCCTCTTGTTTTCTCTTATTACCCAGCCCGGTACGACGGCTTGGGCA